AGTGAGGATGGTAGTGATTGTGGTGGTGATGGTGGTGGTGATGGTGACAATGGTGATGGTGGTGGTGATGGTGGTGGTGATGGTGACAATGATGGTGACGGTGAGGATAGTGGTGATGGTGACAATGGTAGTGATGAGGATGACGATGGTGGTGATGGTGGTGATCGTGTTCCTTCTCATTTATTGGCTGCTTGGTCTGAGTCAGGCATTAGGTCTGGTCACTTACGCTCCATTTTCTCTCCAAGCAACACGCAAAGCTGGGACTCTTGTTCCTGGTCTACAGAGGGGCCTCTGAGGCTCAAGGAGGCTAAGTCCTGCCTGTCTCCTTGCGCTGTGGCAGCTCGCTGCGACCACACCTCCACCTCCTTGCCCTCCTATGACATTCCCAGCACACAGCGTGACAGGTCACTCCCTTGTTATTTAGTTCACCTGCCTCTGTGTCTTCTCTAGATCATTACAAACACAGGGTCTGTCTGCCATCACTGTAGCTCCAGGGCCCAGAGGGTGCCTGGTGAGTAGCCCTCGCTGAGCTTGCCGGAGGCTACTTGGCCAACACGTGGCTGATGCAGGACTGGAACCAAACACTGTCCTTTGATAATCTGGCTCCTTGTCAATCATGCACCCACTGGAGAATGAGCCCCTGACCCGACAGTGAGGAGACTCCCTCATCTTCAGGGGCCAGACCCACGCTGGCCGGGATGTACATGGCCTCAGGGGCAGGTTGCTTCCCTGGGCCGGGGAGAAGCTGTGCTGTAGCTCAGCACGTCCTCCGGGAAGCAGCCACGCTGACAGTCCACCTGTGTCCAGCACGAGGTTTCCCTTCCCAAGGCAGCAGAAGAGGCTGACCGCCCTGCTGTGGGGCAGGGACTCTTGTTCTCCACAGCAGAGATCCTGAAGGTCCCCCTGGACCTTGTCCGCCTTTGGCTGCATGAGGCTGAGCGCGTGTATGGGGACAAAATGGTGGACGAGAAAGACCAGGAAACGCTGCACAGGGTCACGGTGGCCTCCACCAAGAAGTTCTTTGATGTAAGTCAAGCCACCAGCTCCCTCTGCTGAGCCCAGGGAGGCTCCAAGGGGGACAGGGAGTGCCTGTGGCCAGTGGGGACTGCAGTCCTCTGGGAAGGACCCCTGGGGTGGGGATGGCCACGGGTGGTCCCACAGGATGACTCCGTCATGTGACAGTGGACCCAAGTGAGAAGGAGCTGACCACTTGGGGTGGAAGGGCGCCCTCCATCCCCCCTGGCCTCGTTCCGCGTGCCCTGTACCGTGTCCATGTGGACCCCCGGTTTTCATGGGTGCACCCTAGTTGTGCACACTGACGGAAGTGCTGTTACACACTCGCACACACAACCCAGCGGTATCATCTGGCCAAGGTCACTCCCTGGGGCAGCTTCTTAGGACCGTCCATTCCTTCCACGAATGGGGGATTGGACCGTGGTTTGCAGGGCCAGGGCAGCCATGGTTTGGGTCCCTGGCATCCTGAAGCCTCTAGGCCACCTTAGCCACGTCCTCAGGACACCAGTTCATACCTGTGCCGCGGAGGCAGAAACGCAAGTATCGGGTCTCTGGTTTCCAGGAACTCGGTGAGGAGCACATGTTTGCCAAACCCAATATCTTCTGCCACTTTGTCCATGGGATTGGTGACCCCAAGTACTTCAACGTGACCGACGTGGCTCAGCTGAACAAGCTGCTGGTGGACGTCCTGGACAGCTACAACGAAGTCAACGCCGTCATGAACTTGGTGAGTGGTGCCAGGGCTGTTGGCACAAGCCAGGGACGCAGGGCAGAGACTGGCTTTCCTGTCTCCACGCAGCAGCGCCCCCATGCACAGGTGCCATGAGCCCTGAGAGGCTGCCTGAGACCGCAGAGAGCGCCAGTCCCTGGGTGCGCCCCGGTTTCCCCCCGCGTGCCGATGACAAGGCCTCGTGTGTGAGCCAGAGCTGGGAGCGGTGGCACCCCTGGAATCCCAGCTGCCGGAGCTGAGGCAGGAGGAGGGCAGGTCAAGGACACTCTGTCCCAAAATAGAGATAAAGAGGGCTGGGGTGTAGCTCAGTGGTGAAGCACCTGGGTTCCATCCCCAGCACCAGAAAACAATAAATTAGGCACAATGAGAGATGAATAATAATAACTAACAACAAAATAGAATCACTGTGACTATATACTGTAATGAAAGTTATTTAAAACATTAATTGATTATGTCTGGAACTTTCCACGTGATATTTTTGGAAACTGAAACCGTGGCAAAGTGAACCCACAGCTGAGGGGGGCTGCGTGACTCCCAGTGGGCACCCCAGCGTGGCACCTGCCGCCCAGGGGCTGGTGAGGGTCTGCGTATCTGGCGGACCCTCCGTGAGCCTGGTCCCCTCCACAGGTGCTGTTTGAAGACGCCGTGGCGCACGTCTGCAAGATCAACCGCATCCTGGAGTCGCCCCGCGGCAACGCGCTGCTGGTGGGGGTGGGTGGCAGCGGGAAGCAGAGCCTCTCGCGCTTGGCAGCCTACATCAGCGCCCTGGACGTGTTCCAGATCACCCTCAAGAAGGGCTATGGCATCCCGGACCTCAAGGTGAGGGTTCTTGGCAGCCAGCTGCCCTCGGAGTGTCACCCGTCCTCCTTGGAAGTAAATGCCGCAGTCTGGCTGGGCACAAATAACCGAGCCGCCACACAGCCTTGTAGGTTCAAACAGCAACTCTTTATTCCCCAACTCTCGCCGGCACTCCACACACACTTCCCGGGAACACACTCCCTCCACCGGGCTCCATACACCAATTCTCCCAGAACCCCACGAGAACTCAACTCAACGGGAACTCCAAAGCAACGGGGCCCAGGCAGCAGGATCCGCCCTATTCCCCCCCCCCCCCCAGGATCCGCCCTAATCCCAGAGCAGGGTCACCTTTCAACCGTTCCCTCCAGCAAAATGCCAGGCGTCATTCCGACTGAACTGTGGCTCTGAACAAGTAGTAAAGGCAAGGAGGTGTGAGCTGGGCCCTCCACGGGGTAACCCAGGGGTGTCCCCCCCGGTGGGAACAGGCCTGCTCCCCCTGGGAGCCCCAGCAAACCCGGTCAGTCCAGAGCGGATGGTTGATGTGCTCAAGAAGAGACCCGGGACTGCTCTGAGCTAGACTCCATCTCCCTGCCCTGTGCCAGGGGGCAGGCGCTGGCCAGGTGGCCTACATGGAGCTGGTCGGAGCCCAGCCAGAGGGCCCACGTGGGGTGCAGGGTCTGGAGGCGAGGCGCAGGCTGCACTGGGACAGCCGCGTCTGGGTGACCCCAGCTCCCACCTCCTGGCCCTCTACCTTCGGGGGGCCTTCAGCTTTCCATGTAAAGGAGATGCCTGTTATTCGAGGCCTTTTAAGATTTTTAGCTTGTCAAGAGATGTGGAATTCGAGGCTGGCTTTTGACCCCAGGCGGGCCCCAGTCAGCTGCCCCGCGAGAAGAGCTCTGAACAGAGCGGGAGTCGCTCCTCAGGAGAGGACGGGTCACTCAGGTGCCTGTGATGGACACGTTCAACACCACAGACGCCCGTGGGTCTTATAAAAAAAAAAATTGAAGGCTGGGGCAGCGGCCAAGCTGTGATCCCAGCAGCTCAAGAGCTGAGCGAGGCCGTGTCCCCCCCCAAAATAAAAAGGTCTGGGGACGTAGCTCAGCAGTGGAGCTCCCTGGGCCCATCCCCACTAGCAAGTCGGCGAAGCCCTGAAGATTCACACCGGTGCTGGGGTTCTCCGGCAGGCATTTCTCAGTGGGCACACGCAGGCCAGTGGGCAAGATTTTCTCAAAGACGGCGGGTTGTTCGTCCCTGCCACCTGCTTTCTGTTGGGCTTTCTCTTCACTGAGACTTCTGGACTCGAGCTGCTGCTCTGCTGTACACCTGCTGGGCCGGGGCCCGTCAGGCCGCAGGTGGCCCACTCAGGGCCGACCACGGGTCGCAGGGCTGGTCCCAGTCCCAGCCTGGGTGTGCCTGCTGGGGGCCTCCCCCAGGGTTTCCCCGTGAGGTGTCGCTGGGCTCCTGCCTTTTGCGTGTGTGGAAACCTATAGGTGACAAATGATTCACCCTTTGGTGGCTTTAGTCACCCCCACTGTCACCTCACCACCGTCCACCAGCAGGACTCTCTGACGTGTAATCAGACCCTCTCCCTGCTACACCGCACCCCATGTCCCCCTCGGCCACGCCTCCTCTGCTTCCATCTCTGTGCCAGGGACCTGCGGATTCTGTCCTGGGTGGCTTGCGCCAGCAGCTCCCTTGGCATGACCTCCTAAGGATTCACCTGTCCTTCCTTGCCAAGGACCATGCAGTGTGTGTGCCCTGCCCATGGATGGGCACCTGGCTGTCCCAGCAGCAGGCTGTGTTCCTGTCATGGATTTAGGGGTCCCTCCAGAGCCCTGCACCTTCCCAGGACGCTCTGGGTGGCTCTGGAGGTGTCCAGCTCTGGGTGGCTCTGGAGGATGTCCAGCTCTGGGTGGCTCTGGAGGTGTCCAGCTCTGGGTGGCTCTG